AAGTGTTGATCAAATGTGTTTTTAATTTTCTCTCTCTTTCTATTTTTCTCTTAGATGGGGAATTCGATTTTGACACAAGACTAGTGTGCTCCGAAGATTGGCTGGAGAGGATGCTGCTCTTTGCCACGGCAAGGAACAATGGGACACGGAGAGCCCCAATGACCCAAGAGCAGGCCAGTTGCTGGGTACTCAGAAGACGGGAAAAAATATGTGCTTCACCTGCACTCCTGACTTTGCAAGGTAGCAGAGGCAAAGATTAACGGACTGAAGCTTGGTCGATACATTTCAGGAACTCAACCAAAATATTAGTACAAACGCGAGAAGATGAATTTCCTGTCAAATTTTGTGACATTTCAGAACCTCCATGAGGTTCGAAGACTGTGCCACTGGGGTCCAGTCATAGCCCTGTCTGTCATTTCTATATGCTCCACCATGGCCATTCTGGACTCCATTATCTGGTACTGGCCACTAGACACTACAGGAGGCAGTATTAACTTCATCATGCTACTCAACTGGACTGTTCTCATTCTCTACAACTACTTCAATGCGATGTTTGTTGGACCTGGATACATCCCTTTAGGCTGGAAACCAGTAAGCATACTCGATAAAAAACTAAAGCTGAAAGCATTCAGTGTTTGTTTAAACAAAATAGTGTACAGAACAGGGTTTGACTTTGTCTGTGAAATCACCTCTTAAAGTTGCGATATAGAGTGAAACCATACAATCATATCAAATATATTTCATTACACATTTACCTTTGTTTATCCCCAAACAGGAGAATCAACTGGAAGCCCAGTACCTACAGTACTGCAGAGTGTGCCAAGGTTACAAGGCCCCCAGGTCGCACCATTGTCGCAAATGTAACAGGTAGCTGTGTGAAAATTAAAGAGCATGCATCATATAATCTGTTATGTAAAAAAACAACCTAACATTCCCTACCACTCCTCTTCTCCTCTGCCTCCTCTCCACCAGGTGCGTGATGAAGATGGATCACCATTGCCCCTGGATCAACAACTGCTGCGGCCACCTGAACCACGCCTACTTCACCAGCTTCTTGCTGCTGGCTCCAATGGGATGCTCACATGCTGCCATCATCTTCATCATGACCATGTACACACAGCTGTATGAGAGAGTCAGTAGTCTCCTTACCACACCACACTATGCTTTTCATGGCCTACTGCTTTTCCAGTTAATTAATCATTTTGATACACACTGTTTTCTTTTTCCCAACTGTAGATATCATTTGGCTGGAGCACTGTAAAGATTGATATGAGTGCTGTGCGTCAATTCCAGCCTCTCATGCCATTCAGTGTGCCCGCCTTTGCTGCTACACTCTTTGCCTTAGGCTTGGCACTTGGCACCACTATTGCCGTTGGCATGCTCTTCGCCATACAGGTACGTTTTTCATTGGGGTTGTACATTTATAGTAGCTTGTGGCTAGTATTGCTGTCATTGACATGATAATTTCAGCATTGACCTTGGAAATGATGCCATTTATTAAAGCTGGAGTGTGCAGAACTTTTATCTCCCACTTCTCGCAGTGAGAAAAACTTCACAAACACTGTTGATGTGTGCTTATGAAAAATGCCTATGCATTCAGGTAAGCTTGCAGCGGCTCCCCCAGTGGTCCCCTTTATCTTAATGCTGTTTTCTCATCTGAAGAAGCTTTTGCTGACCCTTTTTAGGTTTTTCCTCCATACTTTAAACTGATGTTCCCCCTTCCTGCCCCTATAGCTCTGACTAGTTGACACATGACAGTGCACCAGAGCAAGAGAGTTTCCACAGACACCACAGCTCTGGTACACTGCAAAATAAAGAGAGCATTCCCTTGCGGTGATAGCCTAGTTCAGCATTGAGTGACCTCGTTTGGTGAAGGCTTGAATGTAACAGACATTTATTGATGTATAAAAGTCCTACGATCAAGCTAAAAGGCAAATTTAAATTGACTGAAATAGTCTATCTTTTTCAGATGAAAGTCATCCTTCGAAATAAGACCTCGATCGAGTCCTGGATCGAGGAAAAGGTCAGGATGTTTCTTTGGTTTCCAATGCTTGTTTTGTGATGATATGTCAGTTTTATTTAACATGGGTGCCTTTTTGTATTATTTGTCGTTTGATCTACAAACAATAATGTAGAATGTCACAAGCTTTGCTATTTAAATCTTTGTTCTTTAAATAAAAAAAATTCCATTTATGACTAATTCACACACATCTCAGGATCATCTGTCAGTACAATACAGCAGGCTGAAACTTGACACCACCCCGCCTAAACAGTCCTATTGAAACACATACGAACACAACCTCCTCTGTGTTTTCCACTAGGCCAAAGACAGAATACAGCACTACCAAACAGGGGAGGACTTCATCTTCCCTTACGACCTCGGCACCCGCTGGCTCAACTTCAAACAAGTCTTTACGTGGACAGGGTCGCCCAAGGGTGACGGCCTCGTATGGCTAGTCCATCCCAAGTGTCACCAGCACACCTTAACTGTAGGTTCAGTTTGTTGTTTAGTATTGCATCTTTCTTTGTATTTCTGATGTCAAAGTTTCTTTGATTTTTAATTTAGCATTAGGTATTCTAATAAATCCTATTGTTGATACATTTCCTGTATAACAGTGAGATTTAAGTGAGGCTAATTGTCTTGTTCCCCCTCAAACAGATCGAACAACTGAAGCAGAAAGCTGATAAACGAGTGAGAAGTGTAAGTACCATGTGGACTTGATTTACACACAGATACACAAGAGAAGGTTTTCATTTGGATTGGCTAGGATGTATACAACCCCAGCGCAATGTTTGCGAGATTTAATCAATTGTACTTCATACATCAAGACAAAATCACTGTAATTGAATGCAGATTTTCAGAAATGTTGTCAGACATTGAAATGAATTATGATTGATGAATGTGACTTTATTAACCCACATTATTATCATGTCTAAATTTAAGTTTGTTGTGGGAGCAGTATAATAATCAGACATGTTGTATGCATCGGCCAGCAGGTCCAGTATCAGGCAGTGGAGGACTATAATGGAGCCTGCTGTCCTCTCAGCAAAGGACTCCAAACCTTTTTCAGAACCCCCTGCACCGAAGAGCCCAGAATCCCCCTCATTAAGGGGGACACCATCCTGGCAACTCGTGGCACTAAGTAAGTTGGTTGTTTGTGTGTGTAGATCTCTGAATTGTTGATGGAAAAAAACTAAATGTCTAAAATGGTTTGATATAAGGCCGAACACATGACCAGACTGGGATACCAAATTGTACCACTAGGTGTCACACTTGACTCAGAATCGCCTCCTTACAAGTTGCTTCTTTTCCTCTTTTTTCCGCTTGAAATCCAAAATGTTGTGGTATTGATGCAGTTATAGTTTTCTTTGAAACACACTCTAAAACACATCTTCCTCTCTCACAACGTTTCTGAAATGTGATCTTTGATTTATATTTAAATCCATGAGTAATGGACCAGAACTGTATAGTAATTGTCTATTTAAATTCTCCTATTTAATGGGGTTTTTTTCTCTTCAGATGGTGGATGTATGGAGACAAAGTTTTGAACGAGGAGCATAATATAGGTAAGTTGTGATGGGCTAAGGTTAAAGTTAGGTTTTCCCTCTAACAAATGTATAACTGTGTGTCCTTTATTCCTGCTTTTTACAGTAGGAGACCGTGTAAGGGGATGGTTTCCAAGACGATGTGTGGAGAAGTGCCATTATGACACAGCTGCAAGCGATAGCACCAGCGATAAGAAAGTCAATTAATATATTGGAAGAGGATTCAAGTAGAGCAGGGGAGTTAAACTGAAACTCGTGCCTCCTGCTGCAGGCTCACCATCAACAACTCATACTTTGACCAACTTGAATTTTTTAAAGGAACATAGTTCACTAAGTCCTACTGAGCAACTTGAATTCATTACTTAAAGATGACTACAGAGTTTGGAGAGTTAGTGGTCCCATGGGTTCAGTTGTACTCCTCTGACCAAAAGTGAAACCCAGCAAGAGTCTTAATTTCCCAAGAATTGCCCCCAAGCTTAAATGTGACTTTGCTTTGATTACAAACTTTTTACTTGAATCTGTTGTTTTTACTTGTGTTTTTTTGCTAATTATGCAATGCCTCTGCCCAGTTTACCCCGGGACTTCTTCATGCAACTCTTTCTACAGTATGGAAATTATACTTTATTTCTTTTTATTATTTTTGTAACAAAACAAACTGTTGGCCTCAAACTCTAAATTGAAAATTAAAATACCTTCTGCAAAACTCGACTCCTGTTGTTGTGCTCTAGCATCTACCTGCATGCAACACAAGTAAGTACAAAGGCTGAGTTCATCCTGAATGTTTTCATGACTTACAACTTTCAATTAGAATTGATGTCAGCGTATATGCAAGGACGTTTCACTTAAACTTGGCAATTATGTTTACATTCAGTATGCGTAATACACTTATAGTACACAGCCAGAATACCTCAAACAAGGATTCAAAGTTATCCTGAAACAAAAAAAATGTAATAAAACTATTACAAATTGGAAAACTTATAACAAAGAGTAACATATTTATTTAAAGCTTTTGCACACCTATGCAAGTGCTTTAAATAACTCACTGATTGGGCTTTATCTGCTCGGGATCTTATAATAGGATACTTGGCATTAACTGAAAAATAAGATGTCTTGCCATGTCGTCTAATGATCTCTATATGTATTTATCCTGGGTCTGATGTGTTTTTCTGTAGCCTCTTTGCTTCATCTGCATTTTATCAGGGTTAGGGTCACAACAAACATTAATGGATTCATATAATAAAGCTGTAAATGTCATTCAATTGACCTGTAAAGTAATACACCTATTAAAGTCCGGTTAAATCAAGCAGAAACACTTTGTTTACATGCCTGGATTTATAAAGTTTACCTTACGGTGACTTCCTGTTAATTACATGACTACGTTTCCCAGACTCCATCGCTTTTTCCCCCTCAACCATTCAGGGTGTGTGTAAAATGTCACGTGATTACCCTAACCAGTTCATGTGTGAGTGACTGGTCTGAAGGGGACTGGATAAGACAGTTGCTAGTTAAATATTTTTCAGGAAACGATCTCTTCCAGGTCCAGGACCAGGTCCACTTAAATTGCACGATTCGTCCGTACTTCACGTCGCCTTAGGTTTCCTCCACTAAGGTGAGCTCATGCTAACAGTTGCATTGCAAGGTTGCCAGATATGTGCCAGATTGTCACGAACGATAATTACTTAGTATGTGAGCCGCACCTAAAAGTACAGGTCGTTTGTGTTAATGCAGGTAAATAAGAAACACCAGCATCTTTAAAGGGTTGCTCTTTTATAATCAAGCAGGGTCACTTTGCAAAGGGTTTTTATTGCCTTTTTTTTTACAGGCAATGTGATGGTAGTACTACATTGCAAGCTAGCTACGACTTTGAGTAAACACTAGTTAATCTGAGCTTTAACTTTCAACTCTAAGCAAAAGAAAGTGCTTGCTTTTAAGTAAGCAAGACTTCGTATTGGCCAAACATTGATCAACTTTCAGTTTAAATCTGTTTTATTTACTGTATCTTCATACTTGTATTTGATTGGTCAATGGCTGAAAATCTGACCAATAACATGGTAGAGTTTAGGTCGGTTCAGGTCAGTCAGCTTCCTCGTTGGCTGAATGAAGAATAGTGACAATAATAAACAGCTGTTTTATTCACTGGAATACTTTGCCTCAAGGGTTAAACCGCTGGAGTAAGTCAGCATTGGCTTGTCAAAATGTAACTAATGCATTGCACAACAAGCGGAATGTTTTAAGAAAGATTTTTTTTGTAAAAGCTAGGTAATCATAAACACAGTGCCCGCAGACTGGAGGAATGTTAATGTGGACTGTAACTATGCATGGCATGCTTATAGCTTTGCAGTATGAAATAAACATGATGGGGATGCTAAACAGGACAATAACTTGTTTTGTTGCCAAAATGTTGTTACAATTGTTAGTAGGTCAGCTAACATTTTATCACCAAGTAAATGCATATTTAATAAATGATATGTAACTTGTGCCTTTATCTGTATAAGCAGTTTTGTCCTTGGGCGGTTGTTTAAAGGATGCATGTTAGCAATAATTATATCCTCTTTTTGTTATTTAAACCGTAAAGAAATTGCTACCTAGTACCACTGCTTGTGTAGTGAGCCTTCAAAGGTGGTTTTAATGTAATAAAATAAAAAATCTCAGCCAACTGCTTTCATTTGCCTTGTCTTTCACTTTCCATCCCTAACAGTGACTCAGCAGAAACTGTGACGGCTGTATCCCCGTGATATCGGCCGGTACCATGGCTATGTTCACCACGGGCATCCTTGTGCTGACGTCTCCTCTCAACACCCTCCCCTTGCGCATCGCTCCTGTTCTCAGCTCAGCCGCTCAGCTTGTGGAGCGCACACTGTACGTCCACCTCCACCCAGGGCTGATACTCGGGGGTGGGAACCAGCCTCGACCCGTGTTCATTCCACCGGTAGTGGACCTGTCAACAATCATTAGCCGCCTTTACAGCAACGCAGCTGATGTGTGCGGGCACCTGGATGTTCGTGTTTTGCTCACTAATGTTCGCGCTCAGTCAGCTACAAGCAGCGGGACCACCATCCCAAACGGTCCCTTCCCCAGACCGCAGTCTCTGTCTCACTCCCCGGATGTGGTTCTTACAGACTTTCCTCTGCAGAACCCGGGTCAGTCCAATCAGGTCATGCAATGTCTGCAGAGTTATACAGGCCATTGCTACGTCTGTAGCCCCGGCCTGCCCTCAGTGCTGCTTCACCCACAGCTAATGATGCTGCAGGAGACAGAGGATGCACTGAAAGAGCCTGAAGGAGAGGCAGAACCCTTGGAGACCTACAGTGACGTGGTGGTAGGGGGGACTTTTGACCGTCTCCATGGGGCCCACAAGACGCTGCTCAACATCTCATGCCTGCTAGCCAATAGGAGATTCCTTATCGGTGTGTGTGACAAAGCAATGCTGAAAAGTGAGTAGAACATTTCCAGTGTTTTTGTCATTTTAGGAATGTCATCATATAGGCTAATTTCTCATATTTTGATTAACCCCCTCTCCCCTCTGACATACTTTTCTTCCTGGCTTTAGAAAAAGTACTTAAAGAGCTGGTGGAGCCCTACTCTGTGCGGGTTCAGAGACTACAGGAGTTCCTTCAAGAAATCAAACCCTCGCTGCAGGTGGAGATCGTGCCCCTTGATGACCCCTATGGAGTGTCTGTGGTTGACCCCTTGCTGCAGTGCATTGTGGTTAGTGAGGAGACTAGGAAGGGAGGCGAGGCTGTCAACAGAAAACGCATTGAGAACGTAAGTTAGGAAATATCCGATAAATGTTACCCCAAACATGTTGACTTTTACCAGTAAATTGGACTCAAATGTTATAATACAATTGTACTTAAATTAAGGTCCTCCTCCTAAGTGATTTTTTTCTTGGGCTGAATTTCTTATTTTTTTAACATCAACTCTTTTATTAAACACAAACATGCATCCAACATTAAACATGCATATATCAATATCATGTAGCCCAAGTGCAGTTTTGTTTTTTTAAATGTTCATTTTAATCCTTTTTGGTCCAGATATATAGGAAACTTTAGCCTGGGTACTCCTTCTCACATATATATGATGTTTTGTTGTCTTTGCATCCTAAATCAGGGCCTGCCAGCTCTCATTCTCCATGAGATCCAGTTGCTCAAAGATGCCCACCACACCGAGACAGAGGAGGAGAAGATCAGCTCCTCCAGTCTACGCTCTCGTTTGCTGGGAACCCTCCTTACCCCACCTAAAGTACGGCTTAACAGTTTTGATAAGGCATTTTATTGCATATAGATTACTAAGTGTGGTATTATTGCAACCTTAAGTCATGAAAAAAGTCATGCCAAATATGTTTTTTATGAACTCACTAAAGCAAAAGATTATACTTGTTTTCTTGCTACATTTGAGGAAAAGTGTTTTTATACAAAACCTGGCTGTTGAACAATTGGTATCAAGCACACAGATCAGACTTTGGAAACGTCTTAATGCTTAAAGGTTAAAATAAGAACTGACCGATACAGATAAAAAAATAAAATAGCTCTTCTTTAAAGTATATAGGCGCATTGCAAAAATAAACAAACATGGTTTTTCATTCCCTGCTCCCATGCATTTCCTGTTTTCTCTGCACTAGGACACATCCCATCTCGCTCAACTTCCATATGTGATAGGCCTGACAGGAGGCAGCGGCAGTGGGAAGAGCTCCATCGCCCGGCGGCTGGAGGCTTTGGGTGCCGTCCGGGTTGACTGTGACAAGCTGGGCCACGAGGTGTACCAGCCCGACACCACGGCACATCACAGAGTGCTCAAAGAATTTGGGTCAGGTGAGGAAACTCTTGTGTGATAAGGACCGGTTGGACTATGGTCAGAAATGCGTAATCCATCTCCTCATGATATCTTACCATTTTAATGAAATATATATAACGATGAAGAGCGCGGTGATGAGTTTCTTTCGTCACTTTTAGATCTTCTGAATGACGACAAGACCATCAACAGACGCGCATTAGGAAGGAAGGTTTTTGGAAACAAGGTAATGTGACAACTATCAATAAAGTTTCCGCACATCACAACATTGTAAATGACATGACAGACTAACCACTGTGTATTAACTGTACATTAAAGATTTTTTATTTTTTTGCAGGAGCGGTTAAAAGCCCTCACTGACATTGTATGGCCTGAGATTGCACTTTTGGTGAAGAACATAATCAGCCAAGCCAGAGAGGAAGGTAATGTAAGAACTAACATTTACATTTCCTTGTACTGATCGTATTAAGTGAAGAGATTTCCCCCAGTGTTCATGTGATCTGTTGCTATTTGCAGGTAAACAGGTGTGTGTGTTGGATGCAGCAGTTCTTCTGGAGGCCGGCTGGACAGACATGACTCACGAGGTCTGGGTCACCATCATCCCAGAGGAGGAGGTAAGATGTTTCACCTGCAAATCTCAATGCAACAGACATGGGGTCAAATGTACCTGTTAGGAAAATAGTACAAACTAAAGTAAAGTTGATGAGTCTAAGGTGAAGAGTTTTTACCGTGTATTTGTTTCTCGATACCGGAATTGTCTGTCTGAAAAGGCTGTTTAAGTTTGGGCTACAGAATGTAACCTAATTTTAAAATTATATTGGGAAGTGAAGTGAAACCAGTGGCAAGATGCACTAGTGTGCAAAGGATATGAAGAAAAGTATTGGATTAAAGAATCTTTGTGTCGACATTTCTTAAGAACTTTAGTGCATATTCTTTCTTTTTTTTACTTTTTCTGATGGCTTGTTTCTAGAAAAAAAGATGACAACATTTCTAGTGGTGAAGGGGTGTGTGGCTATCACGCATTGCTGATATACTACCACTGAGGGGCGCCAAATTTGGCCATTTGAAATTGTACACATCCTGGTTTACACCTTTTTCTCGTAACTCACCTCTCCTTGTTTCCGCCCCCCTCTCAGGCTGTGATAAGGATAACAGAGCGTGACGGGGTGACCACAGAGGATGCTCTCCGCCGGCTGCAGAGCCAGTGGTCCAACAGTCAGCGAGTAGAGCGGGCCAACGTGGTGCTCAGCACACTGTGGGAACCAGAGGTCACTCAGAAACAGGTCGGACACTCACAGACCTTCATAGTCTACACATGTACTTTACATTGAAGGTCACCTATTATGAAAAATCCACTTTTTCACGTCTTTTACACATAAACATGTGTCCCCTCTGTGTAAAGAGATTCTGAAAGTTTCAGGAAAAAAGATTCACTCACTTTTTGTCCTGATCCACCTTATCAACTGAATCTCCTCCTAGAGCACCGATGTGGTTTTTTTATATAAAATATCTCTCAGAGGGGCGTGGGGAGGTGTACCTTAATTTCATCTAAAGTAAAAGACAGAGAATCCGCACTTTTGAATGTGTTTGAGCAAAACACTTCAGAGGCATGTTTTCTATATCTGAGACCTATAATATATTGATGAAAAACTGTATAATAGGGGACCTTTAAATATTTTAATCTTGTAAAATGAGAAAACTGTCGTAATAATTCTCCCCATGTCTTATTTTCTTTAAAGGTACTGAAAGCTTGGGAGCTTCTTCAGGAGAGAATCAAACAGAGGACAAAGGGAGATGTATCATTTTAGCTGTGTAGATGTTATTACAGAACAAGATGCCTTAGGAAGAAGTGAGAATGGTTCCTGTGCCATTTCAGCAAATCCAACACGATTTCTTACTTCTGACCAAGACTCAGTGCCTAATTGAGTTCCCACAGGTTTTTAATAGTTTTTTTATTTCAAGATGCACTGAAAGAGGGATGCATAAGGAAAAACAATATTAATAACTCCAAACAATAGTACTTTGAAGGCTGGAATTCATGTTTGGGATTATTCTTCAAATATTGTTTTAAATAGTTCCCGTTTAAATGATTTGCCCAACATTCGGCAAACAAGAACCTTCTCATTTCTCAGCAAAGTCTATTTTTAGCACCTGTTCCGTTGACACTATGACACAAGTTATTTCCATGTTTTCAAAGCACAATTAATGAATGTAGCTTAGAAAGGCAACTGATGGTAAAGGGTTTATCCGTGCAGTTTCAGGGATTGGTAGAATATTTTTAACAAATGTACAAAAAAGAATTGAAATATATTTGAGAATTCTGTGCAATAGGTTAGGATATTTTTTTTAAATATCAGTGTAGATGCGTTTAATACACTATCCCCCTAACATGATGAAAATAATCAATGACACTGTACATTGACACATTAAAGACAATATGATTTAAATCCAGCTGATGTGAACATTATCTATACATCTTTGAAAGGTTTATTTAAAAAGGAAAAATTGAATGGAAATCCAAGAATGAACTCACCTGAACATTCAATTATTAAATTCTCTGAACATACCTGAATTAAAGCCAAAGATACATCAAAGTGGAAACAAAATAAAAAACCGATGAGTTTATCTTGTGGTAAAATGTATGTTGTCAGATCCTAAAATGATAAATCTATGTTTACATAATAGACTGCTTCATTGCCAAAGCTTGGTTTTGTCCCATGAAGTCATTGAAGTAACATTTGGTGGTACAGTTGGTTTGAAATTGTAAGCCTCTTTCATTTCATGTCATCTTGAAAATCAGTGAAAAATATTAATAAATTGGTGTAATATTAACCCATTAGTGATCTCTGCATTTTTCTTGGGCTAATGGGCCAACTTTATTTTTTATTTTATGATGTTAACGTTTGTTTATTAAAAATGCTATGTAGCATGGAACATTTCACTAGTTGAGTGAAAAATAAATGCATTTCAATAATGATTTCAACATTTTCCTCATTCAGCCTTTAATCGTGATGCCTTTAAAAACATTTACATTTGAATAATATTTTAATGTGCAAAATGTACAGTTTTTACGTGAATGGTGCTGAGCTCACAGTAGCATGATTTCACCTTTATTTATTTTATGTGGCTAGTGAAACAAAGGATTCTGGGTATTTGGTCCAAAAACAACCATAATAGTTGTTGTCCCTTTAAATAAATTGTAAGCAGCCTTTTTTTGTGGCAGTATACACCTGTCCACCCATGTACAGATGTCCAGGCTATATCAAAGCCCTTCACATCAGTCTACTTCTGAAGAGTCTCCTTACAAACAAAGGACATCTTAAGCTCCTTCTATTTTCTCCATTTACATCTCCACTTTCAGTTTGGCGGAGCACATTGCTTCCCCCAGCTTGTTGCCGGCCCTGCACACATAAACTCCAGAGTCAGAAAGCTCCAAATCCTCCAGAACCAGAGAGCAGAGCCCGTCTTCATGCTGCTCCATGCTCACTCTGCCCAATTCACACAGCGCCTTCTCATTCTGAAGCCACTTCACCTCCAGCAGTGGGTAGCCTAGAATTGAAACAATGAGACATGATTACAGAGTTAAAACATTTAATAGCTAATAAAAAGGAGATACAAAAGATCACATTTATAAAAAAACAAATAGTTTCTGGTCTTGATACAACACATTGTTAAATATTCCCAAAGCCAATGGTTGCTTTTCCAATGTTAAAAGAATAGCTCAAATAGTTTGAATGGTGAACACAATGATGGTGAATATGTTTAGCCACAGTTGAGATACGATAGTGTGAAGAAAAAAATAAATAGAACTATATTTCTTACAAATGTACGGTTTTAAGGAGTTTAACATCAATATGCTTTAAAGTTTAAACCATAGGTAGGAGATTTTAACATTGGACCTAGAAAAATATACATTGCTGAGAAAATAAAAACCTTTGAACGGTCCCGTTAATGTGTCATTAAGCAGGGAAACATAACCCTGAGAACACACTTTACTGAATCCATGTGTCAGTTCCACACTGGTTGTGAACAGATTAAACAAAGGAATTAGAATGTAAATTAGTTATTTAAAAAACAATGTTGGATTAGCCGAGCAAAGTTGTAGATAACTAGCCTTCATCAAAACAATGAGCTCAAAGAGGGTGAAACACTCATTAAAAACAGATAACTACAGATCCAGGTAAACACTATGGTTGCGGTCGAATAGTCCAAAAATCAGCTCCTATCGTCTATTCCTTGACCTCTGTGTGAAACGTCACAGGTTTAAGGAATAGTGGATAGGAGAATTCAAAAGGACTTAGGAGAAGAGGCTGCAGTGCTTTGAGAATCCGACTGCACTTTCACTATCCGACGTATTTATGATGCGCCAGCGGACGTCATAAATGTGCGTCTGCTGCTGTGGGGAAACTATGGAAACTACAGTTTTCTATACAGCTGCTACATGGATGTATAATAAGAACGACAGACTACTGTAAACTCATCTAGAGACTCTGCACCTTGCTCTGATGCTGTTGTGTTATGCTTTATGAACGTGGACAACAGAGAAACATTTTCTTCATGACCAAAGTTGGAATTGAAATAAAAAAGGAAAGTGAAATTTATGCTCGTCACCCTCTTCCTCCGGTCCACATTAATACAAATGATCCCAATACGTAATATTGTATGAAAGGAAGGTCCAGTGGTTCCTGAGCTAAAGGAGGTTATAAAGGAAGTTTGAAACCTCCTTTCCTATCATCTAGAGAATTTGAACGGCTCTTATCATGGCTGCCACTGAGGTACTTCCGGGTCATTTCACTCCGTTAGGAAGGTTCCTAAGCTAAATGGACTATTCGACCGCAACATACTGTATCTGTTTCGATTTCTATGAAAAGTCCTTATTAAAAACAAAGGAATTTGATCCATGGCGGATATAAAAACAATAACCATGGCAGCTTTAAGTTCAGCCAGTTTAGGTTTAATCATACTCTATCAGAGCATTGTCTTTGTTTGCTCTACTTGTAGCGTGTGCTGAGGCATTATACGAAGTGCAGCACAGTTCTGTTGCCCTACCATTGACAAGGCATGTGAGCCGAGCTGTGGCTCCTTTGGGAAGGGTGGTGTCCTTCAGGGTCTGCTGGAAGCGAGGCTCACTCTGCAGCTGCTTATCCAGCGACTGGATGGCCTCCTCTGCCTCTTGGCTCCATCCTGGCTCTGGATGAGAGGGATGAGGATGAGATGATGATGATGATGATGATGATGATGATGATGATGATGAATAAAACAGAAACAAGGCTTTACAGATCACAAAAGGGTAAACTTGAAGTGACAATCGGAAACAGTGAGTCATCCGCCATATGTATGTAGCTCTGGGACACAGGAGGGCATTGAGTGTGTATGTGTGTGTCTTTGTATCAGTCTTACCCTCTGAGGAGCTGCCAGGAGAGTCTGGCCTGTTGGAGAGATTAGACATCCGCTGTAGGGCCAAAACAGCCTTGCCAGTTTTCTAGAAGTTTAAAAGGACAAATAGCAATGGATGACAAACCACACTCAGAACCAAGCTCAAGGTCTTTATAGGACAATGGATTGAAAGGTCATCATCGGGAAACACTGATAAGGAAACTGTTCACATTCTTGGCTGACGGCATTTTAGTAATTTCTTTACCTTCCATTTGCGCTTGGCCAGAAAGCGTCTCATCTTGCACTTATTCAGGGACTTGGTGGGTAGGGGGCTCAGTGGAGTAAAAGAGGCCACCCAGGGGTGTGCGAGGGCCTCGGTACATGACGGCCTGCATCTAAAGTGCAGGTGGATAGAGAGAGAGGGGGAGGAAAGCTGTCAAATACCAGCAGTGTCTTGTGAATTGGATTATCTACTGCATAAATACAATCCTGGCTCTCACCGAGTCATTTCTAAATGCTTAGGTAACATGCAAAACAAATGTCAAAGGGGACATTTTGCTCATAATTGCCTTGCTGTGACATTATCAACTGGAGGTTACCACAAAGAGAAACTAAACAGTTTTTAAACACAGCTATCAAATACTGTAGGTAACGGTGTCATGAAAAAAATAGACCAACCTCCGGTCCCTCTTCAGCAGGGAGCTGATAAAGTCTTTAGCTTGATCAGAGATGTCCTCAAAACTCTCCTGGTCAAACTCGAAGTTGGCAGCAGTCACAAGAGCCAAAGTCTCAGCATCGTTGTTCCCCTGGAAGGGAGATTCTCCACTGAGCCTATAGGACACAGAACAATTTAACAATTAATGAAAAGTAAGATACACAATAATGCCTCGTTTCTTCAGAGATTATGTTTGTACCTATAAACAAAAGGAATGTGGGTTTTTAAACATTGACCCGTGTGTACAAATTAATAGTGTTGAGTTTGTTCATTTCCAAAATGACTGCTGGATTTGGTTTAAACTTTGCAAAAGATGTTGTACTCATATTATGTTATGGAGGGCTGCAGTAATGCAACACCACCAGCAGGGAGCGCCAAATCTGCATTTGTGGAATAGTTTTTATGAAATTGAAATTAATCTTGCTTCACTGACAAAATCCAAGTTGCTAATGTACGGTATTAATTTTTACTATAAGTGGTTTTCAAATTACATATATAAACAAAAGGTAAAAACAGGACACTTATCATTGTCGTCTTAGGGTTGTTACTGTCCCACACTTGACCTGTACCTATAGTTTAAATCACTACAGCCTCTGTTGGACTTACAAGATGTAGCAGATGACTCCGATACTCCACAAGTCCGTCTCCAGGCCTACAGGCTCATAGTTGATCACCTCAGGGGCCACAAACTCTGGGGTACCATGCATCACCATCAGAGGTTTACCCTCCTCTGGAGAACAAGAGAAGAGAAAGGAATTCAAAATGTTTGCCTGTTTATATTGGCCTGTTTAAAGATGGCTACAGTCATCTCTGAATAGATCACTGAGCCTACAAATGCAGCTTTTGAAGCATCGCCTAATTTAGTGCTTGAATTTTCTTTGCAGGCTTTGATGCAAGTACAGAGTTAAAGCAGTCTATTTAAAGACTGGTTATTATGCAATGGGCATTGTAGACATCTAGGAATTTAGAGATGACACTCCTTGATGTTATTTTTGCATGTATTGAAATGAGTGATCCTTTGTCAACCCTGCTGCGTCAGAATAATAAAAGGTTAGAAAACTTCTCACACATCGAGAAGTTGGCAAATTTATAAAATATATAATATACATAATTAAACTTCATGCAAAGATCCAGCCAAGAATAGGTTTAATTCTCCATGTGCACATGAATACTCAGCATGGACTGGCCCTTTGATTTTCATGGCTTGAATCTTTAACTGGACTGCACACAGGATGTCATTATTAAGAATACTTTTTTAATGCAGAAATAAAATGCCATATTCAAGGGAATCTCCATTCCTAATCGCTTCATATTAAGGATATGACATCCAAGTGATATGAGAGTTTTTCTACAGATCTAGCATACTCACCCAGTTCACTAGATAAGCCAAAGTCGATGATTTTGATCCGTGTGCCAGCTGTATCCACACAGACGATGTTCTCTGGCTTGATGTCCAAGTGGACGATTTTCTGCTTGTGAACGTACTGCATGCCCTCCAGGATCTGCTGCATGTAGCGGGCACTGGTGGGCTCCGTGTGCTCAAAGTTTTCATCCACGATGCGTTCAAAGAGCTCCCCGCCTGCAATACTGGGCAGACAAATGACACCAATTGAAATCCATGCTTCAGAAACAAACAACCTTGGTCTACTGTCACTATGAGTTACATCAGATGAAAGGTTATTATCCAAATGAAATAATGTTCGAAATTACTATAAAAAGGAGAAAAGGTGTTGATATTTTT